CTCCCTGCATTATCCTCTTATCCCAATGTGTTTCTATACTGCTGTCAATATTCTTTGTAAACTAAAAGCTGACCTTGTATTTGCCCCCCACTACCTTCAAGATGAGTTCTGATTCCTCACCATGGCATCCAAGAGCCTTTGCTATTGTTTCCTACTTCTCTCCAGTCTCGGTTGCTGCGATTCCTCACCTGAAATACTCTGCCTTCTACTGTTTGTAGCTGTAGGGGTACATTGTGCTGTTTTATACCTCCTTGTTTTGGCAAATACCTAGGGTGTTCCTAGCCTATCTTGTCCTCTCATGACAGCAAAACAAGCATCTTACATCTCAGTATTAGTAAACTGTGAACTTCTAGGCAATAGTGAGGTCTTGTTTATTTCTGAAATTCCAATATCAACCACAAAGTACAGCTCAGTAAGGGCTTAGTAAGTGTTTGGAAAGGTGAAACCCAGGAGCTGACTCGCAAGAAAATTTAGCATAGTGTAACACATAATATAGAAAGAAGTGAGCTTGACTTAAGGAAATGTTAACATGATGGATCAGTGGCTCTTGACCCTCACTGCAGTCATAAATACCTGGGCACTTTTTTTTGTTTTAGAAAGGCCATATTCCCAGAAATTCTTTCAATTGTTCTACACTAGACCTTATTATTAAAAAAATAAAGTAAAAAAGAATTGGGAGATTCTAATTGTGACCATGATTAAGACTAAATTCTCTAAATAAAGATAGAAATTGCGGTACACAGATACTAGTTTTTCCAGACCAGGGGGCATAGCTCAAGGGCAGAGCATTTGACTGCAGATCTTAGTTTTTTCAAGGTAAAAGCTATTTATGTGTAGAGGATCCCGGTAGCCTAGGTTGGCTATACTTTTCTGGATGTGTTTAATCATGTCTACGAAGGCCAGGGGCATGGTTCCTTACCCTCTTCGTAAAAGCGTACGTAGTTCTTATTATTATGGAGCAAAGGCGCTTGTGTTTTCCTCTGAGACTTTTTTGGAAAATATGGGCTAGGATTCTAACCTATAAGGAGACAATATTGAGAGCAGGATTTTTTTTTAATCTAAACTGTTGCTAAATGTTTAATGATATGGTCAAAGTCTCTGCTTGTGAAGCAAATAAGAAAGTTTTTGAACATGTGAAGCAATGTGGTTTCAGGAATACAAACCCTTGGACTCTGAATCCAGGTCTTCATTGTTTAATTTACAAAAAATTAGGGAAGGAAAGGGTATAAAATCATTAAAATTTTCAAGCACAGGTCTTCTTGTGTTTCATGCAAAACAAATGTTGCCGTGTGTTCTTCAACATGAGTGATTGTCTATGCATTCCTGTTTGTGATTGATAAAATGTAACATAAAAGGTGAAGCATTAAATAAAGGCTTGTTGTAGTCTTTACTGGTGAGTATAAATTGCAACAATACAAAACAGCTACTTTATTTGCCAAAATTCCTTGGGGTTTTTCTTAACAGGTTTTCCATTTGCTCTGCCAAATTAAACTTCAGCGGTAAATTTAAATGTGTCTTTACAATGTCAATTAAAATAGATTACCAGCCAGCTGCTTGATCATAGTTCTAGTTTTTGGAATGTGAGTAGAAGTATATGGATGGAGAGGAAGATAGATCAGTCAACAGATGAAACAAAAGGTCCTAAAGCTATACAGAACAACATACCCCAAATTGGAAGATAGATAGAATTGCCCAGTACAATTTTATCTCATCTTCTCAAAAGGCTTTTCATTAGACACGTATGTGACTTTGAAAGAGTTCTGGGACCATTTTGTACTTCTTGGACATATTCAAGTGGCAAAGTGCTCAGGACTGAGAATAAGCATAATTTATGAATTGTGCTTTCTATCTTCCGTCATCTTAGCATTTGGCTATAGAAACAGGAAAGTTTTATCAGCCAGAAAATAAAAAGAAAAATAGCCACAAGCACATGTGACTCCCATCAGAATAAATATGATCTAGTTGTTTCTTCATCCTCCTGTTATTGTTATTTTACATCGTTTTCCAAAGTTAAGTAGCTGGTAAATAGGAACCGCATGTCAAAGTTGAGAGAGACTGGGGAGAAGGACCTTAAAATGGAGAGAATTCTATGTTTGTATTGAGTTGTTGAGGGGTGACACAGATAAAATTTGAAGCCTCATATTGTGCAGTTTAAGAACAGACATCTTGGGGCTGAGGGTGTAGCTCAGTGTGGTGGTTAGCATACACAAAACCCTGGGTTCAATCTCCAGCATCAAAATAACAAAACAAACAACAAATCCCCCCCATCCCAAACAATGGGTGTACTCTCAAGTAAACCACGGAAGGACATATCTTCTTTCTGCCATTTTTAGTTGCATTTTAAGATAATTTTAATGTAAAATATCCTACAGAAAAATCATAAGAATAAAACAAAAAACCTCCATATATTCTTAACCCAGAAATCCCCATCCAAATTCCACCGAATGTCCCCTCAGGGATTGCAGCAAAAGGGCCTCATTGTACACCTGCCTATTATGTCTCCCTGAACTCCCTCAGTCTTTTTTTCTTTTCCTTTCATAGCTTTAGCTTTTTTGAAGATTACAGTACAAGTTTTTCAACTCAAGTGTGTACATTCCCTCCCTTCCCTTTCTTTCCCTTCCCTTCTCTCTCTCCTTCCTTCCTTCCTTCCTTCTATCCTTCCTTCCTTCCTCTCTCTCCTCTCTTTCTTTCTCCTCCCTCCCTTCCCCTCTCTTCCAGTCAGTACTGGGGTTTGAATTTACAGACATCCTACCACTTGAGCCATACTCCCAACCCTACGATGCTTTCTTGTGATACAACTAAGACTATTTTACTTTCAGTATGAATATTGCAGAAGTGTCACTCCACTTTTCTCATTGCATCCTATGGGAGATTGGGACCATGCAATACCAATTTGTCCTATTAATGGTGTCATTAATTTTGTTTACTTGATTAAGATGGTATCTGCCAGGTTCCACACAAATAAATTCCTCTTTGCAATAAATAATTATTTTATATGGAGACAATTATAGGGTTGTATGAATATCTTATTTCTCAGCTTACTTGCACCCCTGAGTTTTACCATCTATTGATTTTTCCTTCCAGAATTAAATACTTCTGTGATTTCAAAAACACAATTTTCAAATCCCAGTATTCCATTTATATTAATTAGTTGGCATCCTCTTGTAAAGAATAACTTTCTTATATCTCCATATATTTAGTAAGGAGGGAGTGCATTGTGTTGCACTTGAAGTCTGTGCAACAAAATAATTGCACAGATCTTAAATGTTCAGTTTGATGAATTTTGATAATTACATGTACTCATGTACAACCACCTAAAATAAAATAGAGTATTTCTACCCTTCTAGAAAATTCCCACATGCAAGGAAATATATCTATTAGCAAACATTAAAAACCCCTCTTTCCATCACTGCTCTTCTCAAAGTTGATCAAATAGTTTACAGTTTCTGCCAAAAATTCTCATCTCAGTTTCTCCTTCTCTTCTCAAATTTTCTGTTCCTGATGCCCAGTCTACTTAGGTTTTCTCTTTCTCCATCTTCATTTGTAGAATAACTTGGCCCATCTTAAAATCATTAGTTTTGTCTCTTCGTATGGAGGGAATTCTCCATAATAAAACAGAACCTGGGAGTTTTCCAGATAACAAGCCTTCCCTTTAGAAGGACAAAAGAAGGACCACCATTATTTCCTATTGGCAGCAGTACACGTTTCTTTTCATCATGGAACACGATGTTCTTTAGAGGCATAGTTTAAAAATCACTGCCTGACATGAGCATTTCTCAAGCAATATGTCTTAAGGAACTCTAACCTTGTGGAAATAAACCAAGACCACCCAAGCAAGAAAAAGCAGAGGTCATTTATTCAGAGCTTGCTATAACAAGAAGTGAACCCGCATCACTCATGTTTGGCAGAGACTCAGAAGGCGGCAGAAGAGTGGAAAAGCTTTATAATAGAAAAAGGGGAGTCTTTTGGAATGCTTTGATTGGTTGTTGGTGGGGAAGATGGAGGCAGGCTAACTAGATTCTTTGTTAATGGTTAGGGAGAATAACTCTAGTTGGACCAACTGCTATAGAGATAGTGGTTTGACTTCCTAGACTGGTTGCTACAAGATATGGGTCATGGTTCTGTTTTCACATGTGACTCAGCTGTTGTCCATTTGTGTATTCAGTTTAGAGAGAATGGTGTGTTAGAGAGATGCGGACTCCTGGATGGTCTTGGAGCTCCCCTAAGCAACATCATCAGTGTCAGCCCATTCTCTCTCTTCCTACTCAACTTCTTTTCTTCTTTGAGTCCTAGCTTATAGTTTTATATCAACATTCCAATCCCTAAGACACACTTAAAAGTCTGTTTAGACAGATCTAATGTATAGTATGAATGGATGAGCAGGACTCTTTGAGCATGTTGATGTATTCATTTGACATGAGAGAAGATGGAGGATTCAAGGAGATACCTGGAAGATCTTGTTACTAACTGCGGATAAAAGGGGATTTGGGAAGAAATAGTCATTTTTGTGGTGAACATTTTGAATTCAGTTTCTTGGTCATTAAGGTGGCAAGTACCTCCTTGAGATTTTTTAGAACCCTACATGTGGAAAGTGGAACAGAATTTTAGAGATATGGGGACTGATACACAGAGGGCAGGTGATTGTCCTGAGTTTATAGAACAAGGATGGGAGTGATATAAGAGCCTCAAACTTTTTGTGATCTATTTATAACACATGTGTGGGGGGAGGGGAAGGCGGCAAAGGAGACGTCCAGGAAATTCAGCAATTATATCAGGAGTCTTCCAGTAGCAATAATAAACTGCTTTGTGCTACTAAGAAAAATGTCTACCGAAGAAACCACCCACTGAGAATTTCACAACAGACCCCAGAAGCGGAGTAAATAATTAAAGAATGTAGGCCTGAGTTCCTTTCAAATTATGACACTTTATCTTCTATTTACAGAGATAAAAGTACACCAACAAGTGGTTTAATATTTAAGCTCATTTATATTTTCCTTTCCTTTTAGCAGAGAAAACCCACTTTGGTGGTGCCCACGTGAATCATCCACAATGGTCTCTGCAGTGCTCATCTTGTTCTTGAATTTTCTCTGCCATGCTTCTGTTGCAGGACGGAGTAAGTAAAAGCAACTTTGCTTTTGAAAAAGGAGTTAATATATCCAACTGTCTGGTATGTGCCAGGGATCAATTATGAGAGCTTTAAATTCAGAGTGGGTGCTAGAGACTGAATTGACATTTAGTCTTCAATATTGCTATGCTAAAAGCTCCTCCATATGATATTTAGCCAATTTAAGCCTTAATGCACTGGTCTGTAATAAATGAATAATAGTAATAACTACTTCAAATGGTCATTGAGAAGATTAGATGAAGTCTGACGTATGATAGTTATAATTAATAGCAGTGAATATTTTTCACTTGTGTGCTAGCTAAACTTAACCCTCCTTCCCTCCCTCCTTTCTTTTTAAATTTCTTTCCTTCTTTCCTTCCTCTTTTCCTTCCCTTCCCTTTCCTTTCTCTCTCTCTTTCTTTATTACTTTCCTTCCTTCCTTCCATCCTCCCCTTCTTTCTTTCTTTTCTTTTGCAAGGTTTCACTATATATCCCAGGCTGGCCTTGAACTCCAGCCTCAGCCTCTCAAATGCTAGGATTATAGGCATGTACCATCACACTCAACATTAGGTTTCTTTGTTTTTACATTTTTATTAGCATATATTAGTTATACAAGGGGCTTCATAATGACATTTACATATAAGTTTACAATGTGTCTTAATTAGATTCACCCCTCCATCACTCTCCCTCTTTCTTCCTCCTCACTTCTTAAAACAATTTCAGCAGGTTTTATTGTTTTATTTTCATACATATACACCCAGTACATTGACCATATTTGCCCTCCTTCACTCTCTCTGTTTACCCTCCCTCTCTCACTGGTATCCATCCCTGGACAGAACCTGTTTTGCCTTCCTGTTCTTCATTTTATAAAGTGTATAGTGATTGCTCAAGGGGTTTTATCTCGGTATTTCACACATGTATGTATTGTACTTTAATCAAATTAACCTCCTCTATTACTTTTTCTATTGTCCTGCTCCCCTATTATTCAATAGCTTTCAGTGTGTTTAATTATACTCCCTTTATACATGGATGCAATATAGTTTGATATTATTAATGATCATTTTCTTTTCCTCTCTTGCCTCTCTGTAGTCCTCTCAGATAGACCCACTGTTACAATCATATTCTGTCACTCTCTATGTATATGTATGTATGCACATGTATATGCATATATATGTATATAGGATCATATATATATTCATAATACATTTATCTCATAGGTCTAACTTCCACACATGAGGGAAAACATGTGACCTTTGTATTTCTGAACCTGACTTATTTCTGTTAACATGGTATTTCCAATTCCATCCATCTACCTGCAAACAACAATTTCATTCTTCCTTTTGTCTGAGTAATACTCCATTGCATAAATATACTATTCATTGGTTGTGGAGCATCTGGGATGTTTCCATAGCTTTGCTATTGTGAATAGGGCTGTAGTAAACATGGGTGTGCATGTAGCGCTGTTGTATCCTGGCTTACACTCCTTAGGGAATACAGCATTGAATTTCTTAACCTTCTGCTTTGTGATCAATTTCAGCATGTCCCCAGCCAGAAGATATACCATTTGCTGAAGTTGTCCCATTCAAAACATTCTACCTCACAGGCGAGCAGATAGTATACTCCTGCAAACCAGGCTATGTGTCCCGGGGAGGGATGAGACGGTTTACCTGTCCTCTCTCAGGAGTGTGGCCCATCAACACTCTGAAATGTACACGTAAGTCAGCACCTTCTCACCCCTCATTTGGATTTTGGACATTTGGAAGGGATTAACATGTTTTGTCATGCACAGGGTGCAGAGGGCCAGCAGGGACTATAAAGTAGGGGCAGAAGCAAGAGGGCCAGGAGGTTCTCCATTGGAGGAGAGAATAAGGACAATAGGTGCTATGTAGTGAGAAGGAGAAGGTCATATCCTGGAACTAAGGGAGGTTATAAAAAAGAGAGCTGAATTGATCAAAGAAGAGGAAAACATTATAGAAATAGAAACTCTGAAGCATAAACTCATGCGAAGACACACTTAGACAAAAAAAACTTGGGGAAGTTATCACATCATTGGACTTTGCCTCAAAATATAAACAGACTTAATTGTTACTAAAATGAATATAAATTTCATCTAAATTATATATATGTGTACATATTTACAATAAACTATAAATATTGTATATTAAATTGAAATATAAATTATGTATTTCACTATTGTTTTATTGCAAATAGTCATCTTTATTCCTCAGAACATGGTTCTATGATAACATGCTAGCTTTATTTTTATAATCAAATGTTAAGCAATCAAACAGATTGAATTTCTGGCAATTATATGTAGAAGCTAACCAGTAAACATAGCTATATGGATCTGTCTGACCTCTCATTCTTGTGATTATGTATACATGACCTTTTTCATGTAAGTGATTTAGTATGCTTTTTTATCTTAAAAATATCTAAACTTTTTTTGTTTTGGTGCTGGGGGTTGAATCCAGGGTGTCACTTATGCTAAGCAGGTACTCTACCATTGACCTACACCCCCAGATGGTAAGCATAATTTGTGTGATGAAAAATCACATCATCGGGGAAAATATTGATTTAAATCAGCCATAATTCTGGAATAATGTCATTTTCAAGTTATTTTCCATGTGTATATTTTCACAGCATTGCTTAGAGTATGGGTAATTTTTGTTTTTTTTTTTTTCACCAGCATATCATAAAGATTGACTAACTCTATAGTCCTCATAGTTCATATTTTATTGGGTGCATGTGAGTTAAATTGTCCTTTTACCTTGACTAATTAAAACAATCTTCCTACACTGAACATTTAGGCTGTCCAAATTCTGGTGTTAGCAGCAACAGCGTAATGAATACCTGCTGCGTAATCCTTGTCTTGGTTAGTTGCTTTCTTAGCATTCTAGTTACTAGCAGAATGATGGGAAGAAAGGGTGGGAATGAGTTTATCTATGTTTATGTAAATGGAAAATTCTACAAAGAGAAATTTACCCTTTTCTTTTTAATTTGCAGCCAGAGTATGTCCTTTTGCTGGACTCTTAGAAAATGGAGCTGTACGCTATACAACATTTGAATACCCCAACACGGTCAATTTTTCTTGTAATCCTGGGTAAGGCTTTTCATGAGGCTAAGCAGCTGAGAGACAGAACACATTTCCACGTTCTTAAGCTAAACGTCAAGATTGGTTCATATTTAACTTCTAACCTTTAGGTTGAACTTGGTGAATCCAAACCATTTTTAGTCTTGCTTTTAGTACATACTAATGGTGGTATTGAAGGGAGAGGGTAAGGAGTGAAAAACAGTACTAATGCAATGTGAAGTCACCATTCTAATTTTTCTGTTCCTCATTAATTACTTATCTGAAGAGGTATATTGAAAGGATTGAACCTGGATGATACTTCTTTATAATCTTTAAGCCCAATCTTAGCATAGGATTAAAATACTTCAGAACTAAGACTTGGGTTTTAATTATAAGACTAACTTGATTGACTAACCTGGTTGTCTCTAGGAGCGAATTCTCTAGAGAAGGTTGGAAGCATATGATGTAGAACACATTGTTGTTAATCCTTAACATAGTGCAACATTCCTAAAAAGAAAATTCTTATGGTTGGTCATATAGGTCATCTGCCTTATGGGAAAAGACACCACTGCATCATTGTCGATAGCACATTGGTTGTACATTGGGACAAGATTTTATTGAGGATCTTTGTTTGGGAATGGAGTCTAAGAATCACTACATGCAAAAGAGAAATACAGTTCTTTCCCTAAAAACACCAATTTTCTTGTGGGTCCTATAACAAATGACCTTGAAAAAACTGGCTTCAAAGACAGAATGTTACATTTTTCATTGGCAATAAGCTGCATTGTTTTTATACATTTGTGTTAGTAGGTTTTAAGACAATGAACTGTAAGAATTATTCAGTTTGGTTTAGGTTTATCATCCTGAAAAAGACATGGTTCTTTGTTTTTTGTAAGAAGCAACTAACTTGGCCAACTGGTTGAAAATGAGAGAGTTACGAGGGTAGCTTTTATACTCATCAGCTTTGGAAACCTCCAGTGACTCACCCAGCATTGGTTGGGGCACTAAGATGAGTGTTAAGATCCTGAGGAAATCAGCATCAAAAGATGGGAAAGAAGTCAACAGTATTATTGTTGGGTGCAGTGGTGCAAGACTATAGTTCCAGCTATGGTGAGGTTGACGGGGGAGGAACCCTTCAGCTCAGGAATTTGAGGGCAGACTCGATCTTAAAAAAAAAAAAAAAGAAGTAGAGGCTGAGGTGGGGGTGTAGTTCAGTGATAGAGCTTATGCTTAGCATGCAGAAGCCCCTGAGTTCAAATAACACTTGAGATGCCAATGATAGATTATTTTGCTGTTTGATAGATTGAACTTTCCTCTTCAGGTTTTATCTGAATGGAACTAATTCTGCTAAATGCACTGAGGAAGGAAAATGGAGTCCGGAGCTTCCTGTCTGTGCTCGTGAGTCTATGAGTCCCACTTACGGGTAGAATGAGCAGTTGGTTTGTCTCAAAATTTCCTATTTTTAACTCATTGTCCCACATCCCAGAAACTGCTCAGATCATCTGAGCAAGGAGATGGTTGGTTACTCTGTGTTGGAGGATGAAACAACCTACTCTGGAATGACAGAGGAAAGCATTTTACTTATGAACATATTTTGCTTCCTTTACCTGGTAGAGCTCAGAATTGCTGGTTTAACTACAAGGGCTTGGATAGGTCTAGCATTGCTCCAGCAAGGATTGTCACAGTTTGATTAGGACTCAAAGCCAGGCCCTTGAGCATGCTAGGTGTATCCTCTACCACTGTGCAACATCCCACCCCTGACTAGAACTTCTGCAAGCAGTGAAATCAAACATCTTCTATGGAACCTCATTCATTCATCCATTCATTCATTCTTTTACATCGTTGAATGATCTAGGATATGCCAGACCCTGCTCTCAACACCGAGGCTATACGGCCGTAGGAGGCAGCTCTTCCCTGAGGGAGTGAGTCTAGTGAAGGAGACTGTAAGCTAAGAGCACATGCAAGGCCTTGCATCCTAGGGAACTGACTGGGATTCCTTCAGTAGTCTCTGATGGCTTATTCCAGCGGAGCAGTCAGGGGCAGCTCTGGGTCTGCTTCTACAGGAAGGAAGTTCTCCTGTTTCCTAACTTGTGATTATGTAAGTCTCATCTTTGACCAGGAGGCCCAGGTGTCACAGTAATGAGTAAAGCAATTCAAAATAAATACTAACTGAAGCAAAGCCAAACTTCCCTCCAAAGGTTTTGTTTTGATTTTCACTCAGGGCCTTGTACTTGCCTCTACTACTTGAACTATACCCCAGTCCTTTTGCTTTTTAGTTTATTTTCCAGGTATGGTTTTGTACTTTTGCCTAGATCAGCCTTGGACCAGGATCCTTCTACTTCCACTTCCCATTTGGCTGGGATTATGGGTGTGTGCTACCACAACTGCCCCTCGAAAAGTTTTTAAAATTAAATTAGAGTTTTTCACCCAGCAGTTGGAACCACTACGGCTCTTGTAGTTTTCCTCTTAAACAGCTGAATATCAGTCCTGTAAATTTACCTTTCCTTTTTAGTTCAATCTAATATGAAGAAGTATGTCTCCTACTTTAATGTACATACGAATCACCTGGGCATCCTGTTTAAGTGTGGATCTGATTCATGCATCTAGGTAGCCCTAACCTTCCTCATCTCTAATAAGCTCAGAAGCAATGCTCATGTTTCTGGTCCATGGACTGCACTTTGAAAAGCAAGGATGCAAATAATTCAAGTTAAATCATATTTTTGGATGGCACTATCTTTATGTTAGTATAACTCTCCCTGAACTTGTAGATACTCCACATTTTGTCAGGATAGGGTGATAAACCACTGCTGTGTTTCTGGGTCCTTGAGGCTACATGTATAAGCCCCTATATAGAGTTCAAAAACAGGAAGTATTTAGTGGAAATAAGCAAACAAGTAGAACTAGTAATGAAACTCAGATGTCTCAACTTTGTACCAAGCGCTGCCACCAGGCATTATTTCAGCAGTGTCCTCTACACATTTGCCTTCCAGAAACATCTTCCAAGGTAGCATTTAGATCAAACATTTTATGGAAACCTAACCACTGTGTTGTTGCAAAGACTTAAATTCATTTCATTTTTTGGTTTTTGACTGGTTAGTACATCTGATTCAGGATCTTACTTTCTTATTTGACCTCTCTAATTGACTGGTTTTTGCCCTGTAATTGAATCAAATTTTGCATTTTCTCAAGTTCATTTTTGGGTTTTCTTTTTTTCTGAAAAGAGGATATTTTAAAACCTCATCTATTTTCATAGAAATGATAGTTCTTTCTTTTTCTAGCCATAAGCTGCTCTCCACCACCAATACCTAAGTTTGCAACACTGAGTATATATAAGCCAACAGCTGGAAACAATTCCCTGTACAGGGACACAGCAGTCTTTGAGTGTTTGCCACACCATGCTATGTTTGGAAATGGTACAGTTACCTGCACAGCATATGGAAATTGGACTGCATTACCAGAATGCAGGGGTAAGTGAATGCTACGACAGAATAATTATGGTACCATGGAGTCTCATTTTTGAAAACTATTGAAAATTTGAACTATTGTGGAATATTTCAAATATTGAAACAATATTTCATTCGACAAGTGTTTACTGAGCATGTACCATGTGCAAGACAGTGTGCTTGGCACTGAGGGTGAATGAGATCTTCTGATTTGAAGTGAATTAAATATGCAATTCACTGAATTGAGCTGCCTGAGAAGGCTTCTTAGAGGCAAGGACCCTTGAAAAGGGCCTTAGAGGAGGAATGGAGGATGAGGGAAAGGCATGCCACACAGGGGCACAGCACTAAGTCATAGAGGCATGAGAGACAACTAGAATATTTCTGCTAGGCTGGTGAAGAGAAACCTAGTTTAGGAGATGAAAGTAAAAACCGAGTTGCAGCCAATTGTTGTAAGTCTTTACAATCTACCTAAATTTAAGAATTATGCAGTGTTTGGTTTTTGTGTTAATTGTGACAGTTTTTCCTCTTTTAACTTGATCTGTCCTTACTATCTTTAGGTTTGTCTGTTGCACAACAAGTAGACAAATTATAGAGTTTATCATGTGTGCAAGGAGTTATTCTAAAGACTGTTAACTTCTCCAGTGGTAGAAATTAGAGGTGTCTGTTGAATTATTAAAAACATAAGTGATTTTTAACATGGGGGAACTACCAATAATTATAATAGCTAGCACCACTGTGGGACAGGCCCTGGTTTCCTTCTGCATAAGTGTCATCCCACTTAACTCTTCCCAATACTAAGCAGTGGGTTCTTTATCCCCTTTTTGACCCCTTGCCTGATGTATTGGCTATTAATATGTATGACATTGACTCTTTCTTTCTCCATAGACAGGTCCCTTTTTGTGTCCCTTAATCATCTGAAAATAAATCGACATCATGACACTTACCTATAAATACTTCAGCATGATTATAATAAGATCAAGGACATTCTGTTTCATCACTGTACTCAGGCCATTTAACATGGTTTGAATTATTAATAATAATTTAAATAATTATAATGTAAACAATCAACAATAACATCATGCAAATTTTATTTCACATGCAATCTTTTCCAGCTGACCCAGAAGCATATCTTATGTATATGTGTTGTATTTTATTTTATGTAGGTCTAACTAACATAACTTCCATGTGTTGTCCTCTTAATTAAGAATGATCACCAGCTTCTTTTGTTACCTTTTATTGATATTTTTGAAGAATACATGCTATTTGCTTGTAATATGTACAAGAATCTGAATTTGTTTGGTTATTTTCTCATAATTAGCTTCAGGTTAAACATTTTTGTTAAAAATACATTCTGTCACACCAGGGGGCACATAGTGTCAGCTGGTCCATCAGTGTTCATGCTTAGCGTGATCCCTTTGCTAAATGAAGTACGCCAGATCATCTTTTGGTAAAGGTACCTCTTTTTCTTCAAAATTAGTAAGTGACCTTGAGAGATACTTTGAGACTGTATGACTGTCCACTCTAGCAGTCATTTTAGAATCCATTGGTGATCCCTGACACCAATAATGTCATTGTTGGTTATGAAACAATGGCTTTTTAATTCTGTCTTCCCTTCAACATTTATTAGCTGGAATTTCTCAATGGAGAAATTCACTATGTTGTTAATATTATTATAGACCCACCAGTCCTTTTTTACTCAATGTATGGCAGAACCAAAACTGAGCCAGTCTGACTCTGGAGTCTGTACTTGTGGCTCCCTCAAAAAACTGCATCCCAAGCTAACACTGTGCTCCTGGCTCCAGTCTTGCTTCCTTGTCCTGCGGTAGGTAGGGTTTATGAGTTTGGAGCTTTGCTACTGAGGACCTTCAGGAGGCTAGGAAGCATCACTGTTTTTCTTAGACATTTCTTAAATATTTCATGCTGCTTTCTTCCACAGTCAGAAGACAGCAAGAGTGATGAGGTTTAACATTTCAAAGTCAGATAATGCTGTATTAAGTGTGCATGGGGGTGCATTCTTTATTTTTTAGTTTTACGATTTGTTCATTGAAAGGAAGACTTTTGTCCTCCTCTTTCAAACCCACCATCTTAGAACTGTGGAAATCATAAGGAAATCATTTTTTACCTTATGTGACCTTATGTAATATGTGAAAGTCCAGAGGACTTAGCAGAGTGTCATTATTTATTATTTATTTTGAAAGCATGTTTTCTTTTTTTAAATAACCAGGGTCCTATAAGTATAAGAGAATGGGGTCCCAGGAATTGCACAAGGTACCTAGACATTGCATTCTGCTCACAGGCACACACAGTGATTCAATGGCTTAAGGGAGATGAGAATGTAACCATTTCATAACTACCAGGCAATGCTACTATTTATTACTAATATGTCTTATTGAATAAACTTTTTAGAAATAAAATGCCCATTCCCATCAAGACCAGACAATGGGTTTGTGAATTATCCTGCAAAACAAGCACTTCTTTACAAGGATAAAGCCACATATGGTTGCCACGATACATATACCCTGGATGGCCCAGAAGAAATAGAATGCACTAAACTGGGAAACTGGTCTGCCCAGCCAAGCTGCAAAGGTATGGAAATAGAAGTGAAATCGTATGAAGTTTTCTGAATTTACCCAGTGGATCACCTTTACCTGCTATTTTCTTGTTCTATTCAATTTCCACTTGTTACTCAGACCCTGATTCAGATTATTGGTATGTGAGAGGCTTTAGGACTCTCACTTGTACATGGGGAAGCCTCATGTTTAGGAAGTTTGCTTGGCATTCAGATGAAGGAAATAAATAGCTCCTTGGTAAGCATTGATGATAAGGTGGAAGGTCATGTGGGCTGCCTAGTTTGCCTCTAAATCTCTGACTCTGAGCATCCTTTTCTTGGTCGCTTCTTGTTGCAAAATCCAACTACACATTCAAATTAGTTCAAGGGAATGGGTACTTGTTATGAAAAAGGAGAAATGGAGATGAGGAAATGAAATACAACTGGTTCTTGGAGCATTGAAACCAAAAGTCAGAACTATTGCTACTCTTTCCCTAGCTCAGAGACCCGTCTGTCTCTATGTCTGTTTACTTGAACTCAACTTGAGTCTACAGCAGGATCTCTCAGCTAAAGGATTCATCACCAGCCGGAATCTTTTTCCTGAAAATGTTGGTCCTTTGAGTTAGGTCTCTGTTTTTGATCTAGCCATTGTCATGCTATGGAAAGCACAACAACCTAGTACTTTATCTCTGCTCAGGTTGCTGTGGGCTGAAAAGTTAAAGCAGAAAAAGGAAACTGGATACAGTAGGCAAAATGATGAATGACTAGTATTTTAGGTTGGAATTCTCCAGAAGCAGAGTATGAGACAGGCATTCAATTGATTTATTAGGTGAGTATCTACGAAGAAAGATAGGGAGGGAGGAGGACTATTGGGTAGGACACTAATTCTTGAAACTCACTCTGAAGCAGAGTCCCCTAGAGGACTTGTTTAAGCTCAGATTTCTGGACTCCACTCTCAGAGTTTCTGATTTGATAGATCTGGTATAGAACCTGGCAATTTGTATTTCGACCAAATTCCCTGGTTTCAAACTAAGGATGTGGTCTTAGACAGAGTATAACTTCACTTTGATAGCAGTAGGAGCTCTGGAATATGAATTCTCCCCCAGAATTAATCATAGTAAGAGATCTGTGACTTGTGTCCCCTTGTCAGTTGGTCATTGGCTATGGGCTGCTCCCCTCTATCCCTCCCACCCACTCTGGAGGTGGTTTGCATAACCTCCTGGGAGAAGTGGTTCTCCTTGGGCTAAAGGCAAATTTCTGAGAGAGGGTCATTTGTGAACTATCAGCAGCCCTCACTCACAGGGGCTGGTTGATGGATGCATCAGCTCCATCAATGGAATCTCAGTGGGGCAGTATAGGCCTGCATGAAGAAGTTATTTTTTTGCTGAAGCTGAGAACCTGATGCTTTTGTTCTGATTTGATGCTTTTGCTCTTACTGTAGGGGAAGAAAAGGCCTTCCTGGAAGCCATGTGTAGTGGTTCTATTGACAGTGAATGCCTATTAGCAATCATATCGACATGACTCACTGTGTACATTCCTGGAACCCCCTTGTCTTGACCCATTTGTTTGAGGGGTTCTTATCTACTGGTTCAAAAGCTATATTCTCTTTGAGGTTTGCTGAACTCTTAAGTCTTGACTACAAATATTCTTTCTTTCAGCATCTTGTAAATTATCTGTTAAAAAAGCCACTGTCCTATACCAAGGAGAGAGAGTCAAACTTCAGGAGCAGTTTAAGAATGGAATGTTGCATGGTGATAAAGTTTCTTTCTTCTGCAAAAACAAGGAAAAGAAGTGTAGCTATACAGAGGAGGCTCAGTGCATAGATGGCACCATTGAGATCCCCAAATGTTTCAAGGGTAAGTCTACACTGGAGTGTTCCACTAGGATTTCCACTTGCTCCTAACTTTATTATATAATGACTGTAAGAAGTTATAGCCATTTGGCAACTGGGTTTTAAAAAAAGGGGTGACAGGGAGAAACAATTAGATAAAGCAGGGGGCTGCTTATAGTGTCTCAAACATTTTTCTCTCCAATTCTTTTCCTTAAACCCAGGATTGAGCTGGAGGCATGGCTCAAGTGACAGAGCACCTGCCTACCAAGTGTGAGGCTCTGAGTTCAAACCCTAGTGCCACCAAAAAAACTCATGATTGTGGTTTTATTTAGTGGATATTGAAGTGAAGTATGCCTCCTTGTGTAATGTCAGGTTAAGTTGAACAAATAATACTAAATCAAATATTGCATAATAAAAGTATTTAACACCTCTTGGTCCCAAATTATAAAATACTCATGGGATGGTGTTTGGTCTGTAGACCTCCTAATATTTTTTCCCTACCCTCAGCAATGCCTAATTTGAAAGAAATTCTTTTTTTTTTCTTTTTCAGTACCGAGGCTTGAACTCAGGTCCTTCACCTTGACCCATTCCACCAGCCCAATTTTTGGTGATAGGGTTTTTTGAGATAGGGTCTCGCAAACTGTTTGCCTGGGTTGGCTTTGAACTGTGATCCTCCTGATCTCTGCCTCCTGAGTAGTTAGGATTACAGGTGTGAACCACCTGTGCCTGGCTGAAAGGAATTCTTTAGGGCAAAGTATTCATTTGAGCAAAATATTTTAAGGAAGATGATACTATGTTTGTGTGTGATAAGGAAGTATACATACAACAGTTAGCATTTACAACTATATGCTCACCTTTTAATGTTTCAGATTTAGGGTTTAAGTATTTTTGTTGCTAGGAAGGAAGAACCCGCCAGAGACTGAAGCTAATATTGGCTTTAAGTTTAAAAATGTTACAAGAATGTTGAAGACTCTAAATTGGCAGCTGGGAAGAGGACAATTGAGAGCAGATGGAGATAAGAAGAGAGGTGCTTGAGAAGTGGCCAACTAAAGAGAAAGAGGGAAATGCTAACTGATTATTAATACTCCCTCATAGGGTTGGTTTGATGTATGATATGGAATAAGTGCTTAACCAATAACATCATTATAACTACAAATAGAACTGCTTTGAATGAATTATTATTATTCAAGAGATAGCAGAACCCTGGTGAGATATTAAAATTGACAAAGTGCGATACGCCTTGTAGAAAGCAGTAGAAAATATACTAGAAGAAGATAATTAAAACACACACACACACAAATAGTGCTTTGTTGATGTATTTCTCCAGGCTGTTCTTCCTTAGAGTCTTCAAACAGATGTAGTACTCTTGGTGCACTGGAGAATAAATAAAGGGCTGATTTTTAAAATCTTGACTGTAAGAGTGTATAAAAGCTTTCATTTTCTCTGTTGGAAATGAATGCCTTATATTGCACATATATTTTCTCCCGTCACGTAAACTTCACACTAAATGGCTTTGTTCATATAATTAAATTTATTCCATACATTTGTAAAATGTATTTGATTGATTTACCTATTTAAGAAATAATTGTTTCTCTTATCTTTTTTTTCTTCCCCAACAGAGCATAGTTCTTTGGCTTTTTGGAAAACGGATGCATCAGACGTAAAGCCATGCTGAAGTCATCTTCAAAATTAAATGTCAGATTTGTATCTCTGTTTGTCCAAGGAATCCAATGGAAGTGGAAAAATAAAGTTGCTGAAATTGTTGCCCTAGTCATTTCAGCATCACTCCTTATGGTGGCTTACTTTTAGTTAGGTTATCTGGTTAAGAAACTCAAATATTTGGAATATCATCATCTCATGACTGTGAAGTAGAAAGTATAAACAGTTGAGTAACCCAGTTCCACCTGCATAATCCTATTCTCAAATACTTCACCTAAAATACTTGCAATGTAATGTTTTTTACAGACTGGTGTATAGAACCCCAAATCAGTATCACCTGTGTACTTACTGCAAAGAAAAAAATGCTGTGTCCCAGAATTTCTGAGGATGGCCCGACATCTGCATTAATGATACAATTCCCAGATGATTCTTGTGCTTCCTCAAGTTTGGGAAACATCCACATCAATGAATAATCATGAACTCTCAGGTCAATAGAACTGAACTGGAGTCTTTGATGTTGGATTTACATGATGCCAAAAAATCTTTCCTTACCCACCAGGATTCCAAGATCATCATTAACCTCACTTCTTTGCATATGTCCAACTCCTTTGCCCTTCTCTTTTCCCATAGTACCTGCTGGTCAAACTCACCCAAGACTCTGCCTGTCTTCTTTATGCCTGACCTGAACAGCTGAATGTTGTTGGGAAAAAAAAGGAAAAAAAAGTCACAATCATATTGACAGGTCCAAGTTTAAATTCATGGACATAAACCTGGTATTGGTCCTCAGCTCTGTCCAGTTATTCTGCCATATTTCTCTAGTTTGTTCACTCCCTCACTGTCCAAAGTGGCCATTTCTTTTTGGATCCCTCCTCAGTTCACCTTCCTACTTGATTTCTTCACTTGCCTGTGAGGGAATCAACTGGGCTGGCCACAGCAGTAAAGATATATAATGAGGATTTTCATTGGCATTTGTTGAGTGGTTATTTAGGATCTTTCCACTACAGACCCAAGTTCCAGGCTTTTTGTTCAATCTCTGAGGCATCTCAATAAACACTCTCACAATCAGGCTTTTCTCTTTCTACACAATTACCATTCTCTACTTGGATCAATGAAGACATATTAATCCAGAATTTTTGAAGTCCTACAGCTCAGCTTATACCCATAAAGGAACATAATGGATGGGGAATTATTTAAATGCTTATTATTTATGTCTTATCTCAAGGTTATAACTAATATGGCATAGAACAAATAAGAATGGATGGCACTTGGACTGGTGTTGGTGATAGAGGGTCAGGGCTGGAAGCCCCTGATGTTCCAATTGCTAGATGTTGAGAAAGTGAGGGGAGAATCCCATTAGAGGAGTTGCTGGTGTGGTGGCTGGCACTCACAGCATTGGTTAACAGCTGTTTACCAGCTGCTATAGAAACTTCTCAATATTTTAATAGCCTGTGCAGTCTTATTGGTATGCCCTGCCATGCATGCTTATAAGACAGATTTGGAACAGTTTAATAATGTTGAAAGAATGCACACAACATCAAAATAAAGTACACATACCAATACCAAAACTAAACAAAAAGCACACAGACATTACATTTTTTATATGTTTTAGGAGGGGAGAGATGTACCCAGAACCCAAAATGTGTCAATAATTGTAAATGATCTCTGCTGAAACATGAGTTCTTATACATTGGATGTATGGTTTTAATTATGTGAAGAAAGAAAAATCTATGAGCCGAATTGTATCTCGTAATGGACAACTGGTAATGAATATTTTTGTTTTTATTTCTGCAAAAACACACAGAAAAGTTCCATAAATGAATGTTTCTGAAATCAGTATTAATCTAGATAAAGCATTTCAACAGATTCTTTTTACTTTAGAAATTTTCAATTTTAGGCTATGATCAAATACTTAATAGTAGATTGTATTGAATGATCTCAGAAGAAAATAGAAGCCCAAAATGTAAAATTTTTTGAAAGTGTAAGAAAAGGTAAGTGAAATAATTTACCTGATATTCAATAGATATTTGTATTTTTTGACACTTTCGCAGAAGGCATACTGTGGGTGACAAAGTGTCCAAGTGTGCATTAATGGCTTTGATTGCACACCCTAATAATACTGTTAAGCACTATTAATCTTTGGACTGTTTTTACCCAAGTTCTTTTTGAGGAGCTGGCTGACTGCTTTTTCCAACCTTTCCTCTCTCAATCTCTATTCTTCATGGATAGAAGATATAGAGTAATCAGTGTGTTAGTTAAAAATAACATAGCAAATTGAAACAACAGCATTTATTATTTTAAGGTTCCTGTGGGTCAAGAATCTGGGTACAGCTTAACTGGAGGCCTCTCATCTCAGATCTGTCATGAGTTTGTAGTCAGGCTGTTGACCAGGGTTGCTGTTTCATCTGATGACTCAAGTGTGGTAGTAGTCACTTGCAGGTTCAGTTGGTGGTTGTTGTCATGACTCTATCTCTATGGCCTCTTGGAGGAGAACTCAATTTTTCTTGCAGGCTATCAGTGGACTCTCTGATCTTATATTATCAATTATCCACACTTTCTGTGAGGACTTACAGTATGTAACATCTCTATAATCATTGACAATGAGCATGGCTCAGTTCTCAGCAGGAAGGGAAGGTACCTGAGTGATCCTACTCTTACTGAGCCTCTCCACATAATGATCCAGGTTTCACTTGAGTATAAAAGAGGCTCTATGATCAACCTTTGGAATTCTTTCATACCTCAGCTTGTGTATTATCAATTGAATTATAAGAAGAATCTCCCTGACTGTGTAACATCTAGTCTGAGATGATCCCCAGTGATTTTTTTTTTGCCTCTGGGTATCCATGATATTGTGTAGTCTCCTTCATTGATATTGTGTAGTCTCCCACATTGTGTAGTCTGCCTAAAAATGGAGAGTGACTTCCAAGGCTAAGTCAAGAAAAACTTTGCCACTTTTCCCTGCTTTAATCCCTACACCAAGTATTAAAAATATAGAAGAAAGAAAAAGAAAGAAAACAGGTTGTAGGGAGTGTATGTTTGTGTGTGACAGTTTATGAATGTGTTTGGTGTGCAAGTGTTCTCTTATGTGTTTAAGTGCATATGTGTTATGCATGGCATGCATGTGTATATGAGTGTGTATATAGTTTAAATGCTTGTGCTCTTTGTGTATGTGAATATGTGCCTCTGTGTATGTGTGTGTGTGTGTGTGTGTGTGTGTGTGTGTGTGTGATTAGTTCTTTGTGTGTTATTGCTACCTCCTAGTGGCATTTATTGCATTTCAAAGTGCTCACAAAAGAGTTGGAAAGCCCAGCATGTTAGTGCAGGTCTGTAATCCTAGCACTTGGGAGACTGAAGCAGGAGGATTCTTGAGTTCCAGGCCAGCCTGGGCAAAGTTAGTGAGGTCTTATCTCTAAAACAAAATACAAATAAAAAAGGCAGGAGGCGTAGCTAGCAAACAAGTCCTTGGTACTGCAAAAGAAAAAAATGTTGGGAAAAAAGACTTGATATCGAAGTATCCTTGTGTCAGTCTCTGGGCAATTTTTTTCACATACAGTATCATCTCAATGGTTTCATAAGGAAGATAAAGAAACTGACAGCAAAGAAGTTTTGTAACTTGGTTTATTTGTATCACACAGCTAATAAGTGAGAGAAACAAATACCCAAACTAGAGAACTATGTCTTTTGTACCATTCTTATACTTGTAGTTAAGCTATGACTTCACCCAGTGGCTTCCTTGAAATAATTGTACTCTAAAGTTGGAATTTTGCAGTCTAGTGCTGGAACAGGTTGGTGGAAAGGATCATTGTACAGATGAGAGTGGGGAGCACCCTATTATCTGGTTGCTAGCTGGCAATGGGCAATGTGTATATTAAAGGGCAGGAAGGAATGAGAGTCATTTTATCTCTACCAATAGCCTTTAGCATGAATTGTCCCAAGAAGAGAGGACTGACAGCAGAAGTGGGAACGGAATGGTGAATACTGCTTAGTTCTGGCATAAGGAAGGAATCCAGAATCACTGTGTTAAAAGCAGTGATTCTTCTTTTTTCAGTAGTGAAGAAAATGTGCCTCTGAAGAAAGTACCTCGACATTATAAAGCTATATATGACAAACCTACAGCCAGCATTGTACTTAACAGTGAAAAACTGAAACCATTCCCTCTAAAATCAGGAACCAGACAAGGATGCCTGCTATCCCCACTCCTGTTCAACATAGTCCTGGAATTCCTAGCTAGAGCAATTAGGCAACAAGAGGGAGTAAAAGGAATACAAATAGGTAAAGAACCTGTCAAAATATCCCTGTTTGTAGATGATATGATCCTATACCTTAAAAACACAAAAAACTCTACTCAAAAGCTTCTAGACACCATCAACAGCTATAGCAAAGTAGCAAGATATAAAATCAACATAGAAAAATCATTAGCATTTCTATACACTAATAATGAAAAAACTGAGAAAGAATATATGAAAGCAATTCCATTTACAATAGACTCAAAAAAAAATCAAATACCTAGAAGTAAACTTAACAAAGGATGTGAATGACCTCTACAAGGAAAACTATAAACTCCTGTAGAAAGAGATTGAGGAAGACTATAGAAAGTGGAGAGATCTCCCATGCTCATGGATTGGTAGAATCAACATAGTAAAAATGTCTATACTTCCAAAAGCAATCTACATGTTTAATGCAATTCCCATCAAAATCCCAATGACATTCATCAAAGAGATTGAAAAATCTACTGTTAAATTTATTTGGAAACATAAGTGACCACAAATAGCCAAGGCAATACTCAGCAAAAAGAACAACGTTGGAGATATCACACTACCTGACTTCTATTTTATTACAAAGCAATATCAATGAAAACAGCATGTACTGGCACAAAAACAGACATGAAGACCAGTGGAACAGAATAGAGGACCCGAATATGAAGCCACACAACTATAACCAACTTGTCTTTGACAAAGGAGCTAAAAATATACGATGGAGAAATAGCAGCCTCTTCAACAAAAACTGCTGGGAAAACTGGTTAGCAGTCTGCAAAAAACTGAAACTAGATCCATGTTTATCACTCTATACCAATTATTAACTCAAAATGGAACAAGGACCTTAATATCAGA